TAGTGCATAGGTTATGTCCTTTCTACTCCTGTAAGACAATGTATTTTACACCAGTTTGATTGAGATGCACATCTCTTCTATTTCAGTGCTCCCTACCACTTTTTGCATAGAATAAACAAGGACTTATTTTTAGAAAGACCCTTTAATTTGGGTAGATGAAGACACTGAGCAAATTAGATGCTTTACCTATTCTTCTGATGCAAAAAGTACAAACACCAAAATTTTGGTACACCTCTTCATTTCTTGCACAAGATAAATGAAATAATTTAATTTTGAAGCTTCAAAAGTAGCTTCAATTTCCCATCATGGGACAAGTAGATATGTCTCAGGATTTGTGACTGTCTCATAAGTCACCATATTACTCTTATAAAATACAATAGATTTTGGGTGAAATTGTACCTCCAATTAAACTTCATTACCTATTTACCACAGGCCTCACTGGAAGCAAGGTTTAACCTCCCAGATCAGGCAGGATCCACAAATCTGTATTTGCGACACTATCCCACCTCAGTAACCAGCACAGAGGTAGTAGCATAATACATAATTACACCTTGCCTATTTTGGTCTTCTTTTTTGCTTTTTTAAATATAGACAGGATTGTTCTATTCATCTCATGCACTTCTTCCATTTGATTACTGCTATTGCATCTCTTTCAATTTATCATTTCAAAGTTAGAAGGGAAATGACCTACCAAGTCTGGCAGGTGATGCCGTTCCTAGAGAAGTTCTGGTCACGCGGTGTAACAGGAGTGATAACATGCTGATGCTGTCTATTGCGAGCAAGACACAAAGTTGAATCCAGATTCTTTCTGATTTAATCCAAAGCCTTACACTGGTGCCAGAAGCGAGTTTTAAGAGAGATTAAAATACGTAGAGGTATCTGTGAACACTAAGACTCTAGCACTCCTTTGGAAAAGCTTTAGCTCTGCCATATTCTCCAGTATACGCTTAAAGCTATTTAAGCGCACGTATGCGAACCACTTGTGCTGCGAGTGGAGACTGCGTGTGTGACTGACTGAGAACTTGAGAAGTCACCTCAGGTCCTGGTATTGCAAGAATAAAAACTCTCTCCAGAGAATGAAGGGAAAAGAAGCCTGGCTGAAACTGAATGTGTGTTAACATACTGCTTGTACCGTACCTAAAGGAAGATGAAAGCGCTGCGTCTTTTTCACTGAACTGTGGTCTTCTAATGCAAGGAATTTGCAAAGCTCCGTTCCCTCATGGGCTATGACACACTCGCGCCACCTCGGTCCACGTGCATTGCCTACGACACATGCAGAACTTAGTACGGGTTTTCCTTGGTAATCCAGTCTTAAGAAAACGTGTGAAGACAGAACAGACAATTACACAATGTGATTATCAGGTGGAAGATGGCAGTCAGATGGAGGCTTTCTTCAATAATCTAAGAAACTTGTGAAGTTACAATTGCATGAAATCTATATACAGCATCCAAATATCCTGCAATGCGACGCAGCAACCTGTATGAATACTTTTCTCCATGAGGCTCTCTGGGCATTTAACTTCTAATACTTCAGCTTCTCTCTGAATTCTTGGAATTTTCAAAAACAAGTTGACAGCACGTTAAAAATAAACACTGCTTTATTTGCCAGAATTAGATCTTATTAAATGTACATATATAAGTTAGCTGAATGCAATATTTAAAAAACTTATTCCAACATTAGTGTACCATATATATCAGCAACATACTCAGCAGACAAAAATGCCACTCAGATTACATGACAGTACAAGTCAAAACAAGCAGTACACATAGAACAGTCGGAAAGGCCACCTATTCTCACTCCGTTCTGTTGTCTCAAACTGACAGTATTAGACAAATAAGTAAAAGCATAATAACAAAATCTTCTAGAAAAAACAGTATAATGTCTTATAGTAGCACTCTTCTTTTGCAGTCGTTTGCTTAGAACATACCACACTAAATCTTTCCAAGGTAAAAATACTAAATTTTAATTGGAAAAAAAAAAATCCCTGATTGTATTACACTTGAAAGGCCAATTTTCTTTTTCTAACTAATTCTAACGAAACATCCACTGTTGCTTAAATTACAGTAGTTCCAACATAGAACTATCTTCACTTTGGTTAAAGTACACTTTTTGATGCTTATATTAAACACATCAAATTCAAATATGCCAACAGTAAGAATAAGCACATCCCCAAACCAACCAGTCCATTTTTCTTAGTTTTGTCACTTTTCAAGAACGCTTCAGGAAATGTATATGTATGTGAACCATTATAATCCTAACCATAGTAATAATCTTTTGTCAAAATACTGCTTAATGACAAGTAAAGGCAAACTATTATGTAAAGAGGTGTTAGACTTATTTTGTTATGTGACATTAGCTGTTAACATGACAACACATTCTCTTTTCAAGTTTCTATATATGAAGTAATGCTGTGAAGTGTAATGACATATTAAGATATATATATATTTTTTTAAATAAGCTGATCCCAGATTTCTTCCACTTTCTATTGTATGATACAACATATGCAAAACATCTGTTTGTATAGCATTAAATAGGAAGTGATTTTTAAAAAAAAAAAAGTTTGAAAGAAGCAAGAAGTAGGGGTCAAAACATCAGGTCAAATTCAGGAGCTGCACGCAGGGCTTCTGCGTATCAATGCTGTATCCCAAACTAAGGTATTTTCTTGTTTTCCTCCATCTTGCTTTTAAATAGCATTATTCATTCACAAGACATCAATTTTGCTGACATCCTTTCAAGTGTAGCATATTAGGACACTTTATTACAGGACCTGAAGAAACCAATGTTCTGCAGGCAGGAATAGTGCATCTAATGCTGAATTTTCAAATGTTTTCAGCTTCAGTCAGATTTTATGTTTTGCATAGAAACATCGTTTTGCATCTCATCACCTTACCGTGAAGCAATTGTTTGCATCACTAACAGTAACAAACCCCTGAAATCTAAATTTAGCAGTTTAGTTAACAGTGTATGTGTAAGAAGCAGCAAAGTGCCTGCAGTGTGTAAACTCCGGTGTCGCATACGTAATTGTGGTGACTGATACTCTTCTTTGGCTTACACATTAAGCAGCAGAGCTAACTTATTTATACATGCATTCCTCCAATAAAACCATTACTTCAAATATATCTGAATATTCAAGAACATGGTCAGTTCATCATGAACCTGATTTGCCAATATGCTTGATTTATCAAGCAAGCTTACAGAACGAAGCTGAAAAACTTACAGTAACGAGAAATGTACATCTGCATCAACTCCTTGTCGGGCAGCCAAACCATGCGATGTTTGTTCGAGGTAGGCACTTCAATGTTACAACTTTTGCTAATAATGAGGGTTCCACCCAAGAGACTGATTTAAAACTCTGTTACAACATTAAGGTTACTAGCCAAGTATTCCAAGACAGAGGCTACGTCTGCTAAAACAAATATGGAAACCTTAAGTTGTGGATCTAGTAAACAGTACATCATTTGGCTGATATGGAATACAAATCTAAATTTTTTCGTGTATACTTGCAAGGAAGTATAACTTTCAAAGTGCAAATACAGTAAAATTTCTCATCTCTCTAGCGAGTGTACTTCAGCATGAGAGAACTCAACAGTCTGGCGCTACTTTATCTAAGCGCTCTGGGTGCGAACTGCTCTCGGTGAACAGTTTGCAGAGCACTACAACAGGAGTGTGCCAAGGCAGGCATGGCTGGGCTAACGCTCTACAGCTACGTGTGCAGGTTCACAGTATCACGATGCCTGCAAGCACACTCTGGAAATACGCATTTCTCCATAGTGATCATTTTCACATCTTTTGCCAAATGCAAATAAACAAGGCACTAAGCACGGAAGTGTTGATATGTTTTAAATATACAGCAAAATCATAAAAATGCCTAACTGCTTCAAATCAGAAAATGGGGGCACATTCATAAGCAGCCGGTACCTACTTTGCACAAGTAGTTATTATGTATTTATAAACTAGATAACTTTGTAGAAAAGCCCCATGACAAAACAGGAAAAAAAATCTTCCTTAAAGATTAAAAAGAAAAAACAAAACAAAACAAAACAACCCCCCCCAGGCTCCTATGTTTAAGGACAATAACAACGTAAACATAGATTATGTGGCATGCTTAAAACTTTTTGAATACAAATCCACGTACAAACCATCCAGCTAGATCAATCAGAGCGGTCCGGCTCCCAGCCGCACTGTGCAGCCATACTCCATAGTACGCATCGAGTACAGACACACAGCTTCAGCCCTTCGCTGGCGTTCGCAGAGGATCCAAACAAAGGGGCAGCTTTGGCCAAAACTAACGTCAAGCATGATCGTCCAATGGCAGTTTTTGAGACCGAGAAATAAATTAACTGTATTTCTCCAAACTGTATACAGCTTTTCAAAAAACACTGTCATTAGACGATTCCATAATATTTGCATTTAAAGAGCGAACTCTTTGGCTGACAGTATCTTTATGAAAAGAAACTATGGATTTTTTTTTCCTTCATTAGTATGTCTTAACTGAATTCTGTGCCTATAAATAATTCCAAGTGGAATTAAACCAATATACCTTTAAAAATCCATTCCTTCTAAAAAGTGTAAAGAAGTTCAAAGCTGCAAACAAATGTTTCCTAAGACATAGTGTATACAAAAAAAGCCCCAAACCCTAACCCTCGTATCAGGAGTGTTCTATTTAAATGATCATGTCATAAAAATAATAATTCTCAGCACTTTCCATGGCCAGAGTCCTCTATGATATCCTTCTCATTCAGCTGGGATACAGCCCGGAACTTTGCCTTTAGCGACAGGGGGAGGGCTTGGTGACAATGACCTTATTATATCCTGTGAGCCCTTTGACGGTAACAGTCCCTATATTGGGAATCCAAATTCTAGGATTACAAGATTACACTTATTATGCAAAGTGATGGGTAAATAGAAAACAGTGCTGAAGTCATACAGTTTAAGTAGATCTACTAAACCTAGAATGCTCAGTAAGACTTTTAAAGAAAAGTCTAAAATCTTTGGAGTGAAAGCAAAGGGTTGAAACAGTCCTATAGCTTTCAAGATGATGTATACTGAGCAAATAACAAATAAAAAAGCTAAAATGAGCTAAATCCCAAACAGCTGGTTTTTCAGCTACATTGCTCTGGATAACTCCATTCTCCCTTCTGTGGCAATGAACTCCTTTTCTGTGGCTCGTTTATCACCTTGACACAGTCTCTCCTTCAGTTTTTCAAGTTCATACTCATGTAGGATTTTCTGTGTTAAATACTTTTCACGTTTTATTTTGGCTTTCACATCTGCAGGGACATCAGGAATCATCCATGCTACAAAGAATTTGACGACGAATACAACATGCTGCCAAAAAAAAAAAAAAAAATTAAGGAAGCCAGGAGAAATGTAACAACTCATTACCAAATGAAACAACTATTCTTTTATCTAACACCAAATAGATCACTTCTCTTTTTGTTCACAAACAGAATAAATTTCATTTGGCTGCCCTGGAACAATACATAGCAAACGAATGTGCATCTGACATGTGCACGCAGATTAAAACACTTCCTTTTATGCAGAAACTTTAATTCCAAACTCCCTCTTCCCTTCAGAACTTGGAAGACAGTGGCTTAATACTGAAGTGGCAGTTATCCAAATTATTGATTTAGCTATTTTTAGCCAATTTTTTTAGCCAATATACATCGCTGCAAAATGCTTTCTGGATTTTGAATACAGTCATCTCGCATACAACACTTTAATGAAACCAGGAGGAGTGAAAGTGCTAGTCCTGGTGGTTCACGTCTCTTCCATCTGCATAAAAACCTTTTTTATTCTGCTATTTTATTTCAATCAAATCTAGCAGTCTCCTCAGCTGTTTTCACTGTTCTTACTCTGAGGTTAACTTCCTGAAGTTAAAAGACCTAGTCATAGCAATCATTTAGGACATGAGTATTTTGTATTACTTAGGAAAGAAACTATTTTATACTCTCAGCAATTCAATTATTTTCTGTAACATTAGTAACTACCTAGAGAATCTGTAAGGTACCGATTTCGGAAGGAAATTTTGTAGGGAACATACCTCCATAATAATTATAAAGGCCAGTTTTGCAGCAAGAATGTGCCAAAACTGCATAGTGTGTAAATATCTCCGCTCATGATCTGGAGGGTATCGATAGTCTCTGTATCTGTTGGATAAAGACATGCAAAGGTGAAATGTCATATTCAGTCTGAGACAGACTACAAGCTCAGTGACACTTACAGGCAAATACAGTTGTCACTTACGGAACCTTTTCATCTTGTTTTAAATGGTCTGTTTCCTTTTGCAGTAAAAGGTCGCCTCTCAATTTGTTTCTATCTTATGTTTGCTTAAACACCCCCATATTCACAGCAACAGAGTAGAGGTGAGGATGTGCGAGAAGTGAAATTTTGTACTCGAGTTACCTTTTTTTTGGGGCAATGATCAAATAATACAGGACAGAGTGATGGGATGTATCACACAGTAATGGACAAGTATTGAATAAACGTGACAGATGTTGACAGATTATGGAGTGGACAGATGCAGGGTTTAATGGAAGGACGGTCCCGAGTTCTACACTCACATGTGTAACTAGGATACAGACTCCTGAGCTTTAAAGCTAAAACATCATACAAATGTAGCTGCTTCTTAAAATGGTGGGGGTTTTTTGTTTGGTTGGTTTGTTTTGGGGTTTTTTGCATCAAATCAATACTTTCCTTTTGCCATGGGCTTCTTCGAGGTTCTTTCTCAATTCTTCTAGAACCTCTAATGCTTCTTCTAGTGAGAAAGGACTTTTTTTTTTTTTTAAAAGAAAGCAGGATGGCCCAGATCCTCAGTGATATCTAGCACAATAATGACTGACTTTAAATACTGTATCTCATTTTCAGCTTTGGAATCTAAACCGCCCCTTAACGATACTTTGCTTGTCCACTTAGGCATCACAGCCTAAAAACCTTTGAAAATATAGGCTAAACTTGCAACCTTAGGGACATAACTCTCCTCTATCACTCAAAAATCAATAGTTTAATTAAGTAAAAAAACAAAACGACACGAAAAACCGTTAGCAATGAGACTCTATTAAACAACAAAAACGTGATTTTTTTTTTTTTCATTACTGGCAAGATCTCTTTATCATCTCAAGCATTGCCTTGTTAATAGCTTAAATATTACCTCTCACACTTGGGAATGCTAAGAATGACATCATTTAATTTCTAGTGGACTACTTAGATCTGCATTGACTTTTTATGCTGTATTCTAAACAGAGTGATAAAATATTTATTATTACACCAACCTGCATATGACAAAGTTTTCTGGATTCTCTTTAGGCTCGTTTCTTTCAGGAAAATCTGAGATTTGAAACACTGACAAACTGTTGTTTATGTATCCAGACATAGGCGAGTCTTCATTTTCAGAGTAAGCATAGTAGTAAACTAAACGAGGAATCATATCTGACGTGAATGCAACAATAAAAGCCTGGAAAAGAAATTGGAAAATGAAATTAAGGAAGTAGCACACAGAACTTGTGAGCAGATTCATAAAGGGGTTTTGGTGCTGTGACTCTGTGGCATAACCCAGGATCTTTTAAGCAAGGGCGAGCATGACTAGGGCACTTGACCTTGGTAAAGATGCCGACTGCAGCCTCTGCTGCAAGGATCAGCGCTCAGTGAACAAAATATGTGAATAGTCCTTACAAGAGGCACCAAATCCCAAATATCCCCTCACACCAAACTGTCTTCTATCCATGACAACAGCACTCCTTAGTGAAAGAGGAGATGTGGTTTTGAATTCTTGTGAGAAAGGATGAACTCGAATCCAGTGTGTGATCACTTTATGAAAGAAGGGGAGCCATTTTCTCCAGCTGTATTTAAAAAGGAAACAATGGGTAACAGCACATTTTGCCTGAAAACTCGAGACACTTAAGATGCTCAGGTACCTTGCTAATTAGGCAAGGGGGTTTGTTGCCTAAGACACTTGCAGATCTGATACTGTTTACTATTCTACATTAAAAAGAGGCAACTCTTTTGCTCAGCAGTTTGCTTTACTTTAAAATGAGACACTAGCATAGCATTTAGTTTCCAGTTTATAAAAAGTACTCCAAGCCATTGCTCCCACAGGGGCATCCAGAACCAGTTGAACGAGCAGAATTCCCACAGAATAGGCCTCATAACGACAAGACAGAAATGTCAGCCGGCCAACACAATTAAGCCACCTCTCCTGTCCCCTGTGGTCCCCTCTGGGCAGGTGTACTTCATCAGACTAAGCTTCACACTGGCTTATGCCATTCCCAAACACTGGAAAAAGACAAGTGAATGAAAGATTATGGTCCAAAGCAGCGTGGATTGGGAGCTGCATGTCGTCAACATACGGACAAGCTGAACCATCCACATGGTTTGACCGCATCTCCACAGGGTAGCATGTAATAAAGCGAATAGTGTTGGTAAAGGAGAAAAAGCATCAGCTGATTTTTACCTCTGCAAATTCTGAGTACCTGGAGGAATCAAAGCTGATGTAGCACAGTTAACGTACTTACATTAGTGACAACAGACAAGATGGCCATTCCGTTCAGGATTTCTTGCCAAACTCCTATGCTATGTGCTTTCGCAGCCACAGGTCTCCTGTACTGAGTGGTTAATTTCCAGGAGTCTACTCGAATCTCCAGGATATTATTCATCAGAGCAAGAAGGGGAGCCAGAGGAAAGGATGCCACGAAGAGAGTAATGAATCCAAACTGAATGACTGCAAGGGAGAAAAGAAAAGTGCCAAAATCTGCCCCTATGAAAGTACCCTCAGGGTGACAATGAAACATCCAAGTTGTGACTCGCAGACAAATGGCAAACTTCTACCAGGCTGCACAAGTCACCTCCAGCCCTGGCCTGAGCTAAGTGCCAACCTGCCCCAGCCCCAAGACTTCTCTAGTCTCTTAGGGCTGCCATTCAGCAGCACCCAAGGGCACAGGGCATTGGGGTCCTACCAAATTATGCCAGCAGTGCTGGATACTAAATAAACATAGGGGAATGGGAATGTATTCATACATCTAATTTCTGAATGAAGAGAAAGGAGTAATTTAAAATAAAATAAAATAAAAAGGCTAGCTTTTCTCTCCTGCAGTTTGTACAGAGCAAGCCCATTCTCCTAAAAGAAACGTTTATCACAACTTTACCTCCACCTATTGTTATTGGTTTAGTCAAAATATTAATACCAATTCTGTATATAATAGGAGTCTTAACATGAGTTTAAGAATTTCAAATAAAGTACACAAATGACCCCTTTAGTCATTACAGAATGTGATAGTCCTCAGTGCAGAGCCAATACTGCCAATATATTTTAAAGACAGGAAATAGAACATCTTGTCTGGTTTAGGCAGTGGATAAAAATAAATTCCCATACACCAGTCATCAGCTCTTCCATGATTTCAGTGATCAGTTCTTCATCTTAGACAAGCAACAAAATTCCTACTAGCTTAGCAGCCCCAGGACAATGCTGGAGCATACTGGTTCAGTTCTGATTCAGGAGGAGCAAGGACCTCTATTAACAGGCCTGGCTGACACCGATGGTTCTTAGTGTATGAATTTCACAAGATCACAGCCCTGTATGAAGCATCATGAAGCGTATGAAGTGACAATAACACAGTTGCAAAGCTCTAGGCAATAATTATTTCTGTACAAATAAATACAAGGGACCACTTTTCAACAAATTTTGTCCTTCTAATAGACAAATACTAATATTTTTTAGTGTCTTTTAGATTTAGTTTGGCTTCTATTTCTAGTTTTAGTTTCGCAGACTTTGTACAGCAATTTCATGTGCTGACCTGTTCATGTCATCTTTGAAAAATCCTATTCTGTTACCCCTGCTCCCTCTGCTGGTCTACTGGACTGTATCGAAGCACTAACCAGTGCAAACCTAAACCGAAATGGATTCTCTCCCATCCAGTTTGTAGATCTGCAGGACCCATCCTTACAGCCTATTTGGCACTCATCCCATACATACAGTTTCCACAGACATCAGCTGAGAATATGCTTGGGAACAAGAACAGAACAGACATCAGACAGCTGGCTGCACTGAGAATAATGTTCCCCATTCAAATGAGGGAAACAAACAGTCTTTGCAGCGTTTCTGTGAAATTCCCAGCAGTCTAAGATGCAAAGACAGCTTTTTTTTTTTTTTTTAATTGGGCCGACCTATTTAATGATTTCTAGCAGTTAATCGTCTACTGTTTACCAGATGAAAGTGATGGCATCAACCCGTAACAATTACTTGAGAAGCTATTTTTATTTGAACTGCCAGTACAAGGTGTCTTGTCCTCAATTCCAAATGCGTATTTTTAAACTTACCCATTTCTAGATATTCATAGAACAGGCCCAAGGCTCCAAATGTCTGCAGATCATGGTCTTGCTCCCAGCGACTGTATAAATTTTCCGGATTATTTCTGGCTTTCCGGCGTCCCCACCAGTTACAAATCCAGCTGTATATGCAGAAAAAAGTTAACAGAGAGAGAAGCAGATCAAGTATCCATTTCTCCAAGCAAGCTCCTTGTTGCATTATGCTTTTACAAGCATGGCTTTCACAAAAAGAGGCCAGAAGCCTCTATAGAATGAGTCTACTTGTCAGAATTTGTTCTTAATTTACAGAATTTTTCTCAGCTTTTTCACATGGCAATACTTATTATTACTCCTTCCAAGAATTTCCTCTGTCTATAACATGGGCATCTCAGTGTAAGAGGTAACTTACGGTACAATGGCCTCTTGGATATTTCCCCAGATCTGTTTGCCAGCCATGACTATGGTGAGCTGTGTCGTCAGTTCTATCAAACAGCCCGCAGGATCACACTGGCAGAGACAAATTGGGAGTTAATGGATGCTAATAATGGACATTACCCAGATGAACTATATTCTACTACTGTATAAACGAAAGAAAGAAGAGAAGAAGAGTTCTTAAAATTTGTTAGGACAATACTTAATTTTCACCTGGCCTGCCAGCTAAGATACCCTCTCGGGAAGGCTGTTAGAGAAGGGCTTTCAATGTTCAGAGTGCTTGATAAAACACACACCAAAACACAATGGCCGTTTAAAGACAGAGTAATTCAGAGATATTTCAGGCTGACCACTGTGCAGATACACAAAGACGGGGCAGCAGGATCCACATGCAGCAGCCACCCCACAGCCCCAGCAAGGTGAATCTACGGTGCTCACTTAGCTCTCAACACCAACCCTGACCTAGCAAGCACCTGCATTTTCTATTCATATCCCTACACCAGAGGTATTTAAATACCTGCCAGTTCTCTGCTGTTTGCCAAGAACACTAGTTTTAAAGTTTCAACTCTTTATTGAGGCCTTCTTAAGAATTTAGCAGCAGACCAGTATTAGGAGATACTCTATCAGTAAGTGCACTGCATTACTTCATTGTGTTTTGTATGAAGTCTTTCCTCCATTACTGAGTCCCAAGCAATGCTTCACATTAAATATTGTATCTCATCTCTGTACAAACAGCATAATTAGCAATGAAATGAGGGGAAAAAAGCAAGAGCTTACAGATGTGCCTCTCACCAAATGGTTTCTCTGAAAATGCAGTGCCTCAAAAAGCTTATGAAGACACCCAAAAGCCAGAGACCATTTCCATTTATACTAGCGTTCTTCAACCTAGAGGATTACTTTTAAGATCTATGGTGAGATCCACTGGTACTTCTGGAGAACTAGGGCCGAGAAAAGCTTTTTGATTTTTCACCCTTGTGACTGAGAGCCACAGATTTTCACTGCTGGTGCTTCCCTGACTAGCAACTGCACGAAGGGTCCTTGGAAGCCTCTCCATCAGCCTCAGGATGGCCAGCTGAGGTCCAGCTCATTCCAGACCAAACCTGCAGCTGGCAAGTTATGACTTGGTTGGAGGGGATAGAGAGTTTAAATTAGTTTATTATTATTCAATCCACCTTAATCAAGAAAGTCCTACCTCTTCATTTCGCCAGCGATTAAACATGTATGTGTAGGCACCTGGGTAACCAACAAACTTCCCTTTGAAGAAGGCCACGTAGAAGCAGGATGAATAGTAGTTGACAAACTGGAACAGAAACATTTTCATAGTGAGCCTGTTCTCATACTCCATGTGAGTTCTGGGAATCTCTGCAAAACCAGAAAACAGTAATTTCATTGTCCTTTATTCCCTTTAAAAGGACATAGATTCATAAACAGTCATCACCCACAATGCCTTTACATTCCAAAGGAAAAAAAAAAAAGGAAAAGAAAAAGAAAACCACCTACAAACAGTTCAGCAGATGGAATTCCTGCTCTCAGACACCCTGCCCTTAAATTTACAATGCAATGCTCTGAGTAGACAGGCAAGTGAAATTCTTTCTTGAAACATTTATAAGCTTCAATTTCCCCTTCTTTGTACTGTCTACTAGCACTTGTGCATCCTAAAATCTTACACTATTTTTAGGAGATCCAAGATGAATCTCAAACATTAACTAGCAGGGTCTTCTAGACTATGAATATTTCACTGTTGGCAATGCACATGACAAAGAATTTTTTTTTCTTTGTGGTACAGAAGTATGTTACAGTATTTTTTTTTTCAATAAGCTGTATGTGTGTTACTTATATTGAAATCAGCAGAAACTGGATGGGACCTGTGCCTCTGAAAGATGACTCATAGGGAAGAACAGAGAAGGATACAGACATCTTGGTGGTCCTGAACATCACCAAGCCTTTGCTTAAGATTTTGCTGCCTTCGTAATCACATCCTCCATCATGCTTACATTTTTAAAGGCAGCAGGAAGCCCTACGCACATTATTGGTAAAATGTTCTGTTAAATGATAACGTATAACCAATTCAAGCTGGGTGAAAGGGGAAGAAAACACACCACAAACATTCACATCCCTCTGAATTGGTCAGGACCTGGCAGACGTGTTGAACTCACTGCCCCTATGGCAAAGTTATTTCATATATCTGAGTAAATTAATGTTTCCAAGCTTGGCACAAGTTTGCATGACAGAAGGTATTTACTGGGAACCTGTAGTGTACTACCGAGGAGGCAGTACTCAGGTGAGGTAGTCTGCCTAGGTTGCAGCTTACTGAAGTATTTTTATTGACAGTGAGCTGTTCAAATGTTTATGTCAGACACTCCATGTTCAGAGCACCACAGGTAGGTTATACCTGCACATCTTAAACCAAAATCTGGCCTAACCTTTTTAAGGAATTCAAGAGTGGAAAAAGTTAGACAATCCTGACAGCCGCAGCCAACATTTCAGACCCTGGAGCCAACCGTGTCTCCAAGCCTGGGCTAAGCGCAGCGGCCATGGCTGCCAGAGGAGGGCAGCAGTCCCACAAAAGTAGACAGATTTATTTTCTCTCTGTAACTGATAACCACAGGTAGTGCTGACACTTAAACTAATCCTCCACACTTGCACGCAGCAAAACAACATTGCAGAGCCTTCATGCTTGTAATTCATGCCCTTCAAGAAAGAAAGATTTTAAAAAATGATGATTTTCTAGGGGGTTTTTTGTTGGTTTATTTTTTGCTAGGGGCAATTCTACTTATTACTTGTTCTGTCTTTCTTTGGTCTAATTTGGCCAAGTGAGATAAGCAATACAGATCTCCAAGACAAGAGATGGTCCACGATAAATCAAAATAAACCCAATGCAACATCCCATTAAGTTTCTGCAAGAAACACCTTTCAATTCTTAATTCCACTTGTAAGACCTCATAAAAAAAGATCACCCAGCTGTGTTTATGACAGCTGTACAAACTACAAATACCTAATACTTTCAGCTCTCCCCCGCAGCTGAATATTCTGCAATTATTTCTTTCTATAAAGCACCTGCAGGGACTTGTACATCTAAATCATTAAGGGCAAACAAAGAAAAATACATTAAAAGGGCTCTAGGGAAGGGTATTTCCAGCAAGCAAGCCACAGTCAAACATAAAATCTGCTAGAAAACCAATAGATCTTCCTGGGCCTGCCTGCCGGCTCCTCCAGCTCTGGAGTCAGCCTACTGCAGGTAATGCCACCAACGGCTACAGCCACAATGACACATCTTGGGCCCAACTTCTCAACCTGCTCAATCCCTGCCTTCCACCTGTATTAACTCCAAATCTGTAAATCCACAGTGAAGGCAAAGTGTGTGAAGAGAAAACCCTGGAAAATATACTGTCCTATCCCATCCCCCAGCCTCCTACCTTTTCCCCCCAAAGTAAGAGACATGATTATTTAGTCTTTTTTTTCTTGTGAAGATGGCTGTGAAAGCTGTGATCTATTTTTAAAAATGTAACTTCAGGACTTCCAATTGAAATACTGCTAAATCCAAAGGGACCTGGACAAGCTGGAGAGGTGGGCCTGTG